TCGTCATATTTCATGTATTTGGCCGAAAAGGATGAGATCCCGATTCAGGCGGACGGCCGGCCCGGCAAAGCCAAGTCCGACTTCCAGAGCTATGCCGACGCCTTGTGGTGGGGAGTCGTAAGTGTTTTGAATTTCATTTTATAAGTGAATTTAATTCAGTTTTAATGTAATACAAGTAAATGATTGTGTTTTCCAACATATAAGGTGTGGCCAAGAATGCTATGAAAAATGATTGAAAATAATTATTATTACATTTCAAGAATAAGTAGTTTGTATTTCTTAGAAAATGCAAATTTTATGTAATTATTTCGTAGAAAATGTTTGCGAAATATTTATAATAAAGGATTTTGTTATTTGTATTTCGGATTTTAAATTACATTTTTAAGTAGAATTATTATGGATTAAATGTAGAATATAATGGGGTTTAGGCTAAAAATAAGTTTTCATTGGGAAATACATGTGTAAAACTAAATAATTAATATTTACAACGATAATAAACAACATGTTGGAAATTATTACTACATTTATTAGTATAAATATTTGTAATATTTTTATTGTCGCATAAATTTTTACTCTTTAACCAAATATATGACACAAAAATACGCGAAATATTCATTGCGTTCATATATTTAGACTAAAAACAAAGTAAAATAAATAAATAATAAAAATACAATCAAAATAAATTTACTAATAATTTACAAATTAATGATAACAATGCACTCAATTGATAGACATATATAAATGTTACTACATTTTGTGAATAAGTTATATTATTTATTATAGATAACTGTAACAACCATTGGATACGGGGATACAGTTCCCAAATGTAAATATGATTTTAACCATTTTATACCAACATATAATTAAATATGCTTTATTATAATTACCATTCATTATTAACTTAATAGCATGGATGGGCAAAATAGTTGCCTCATGTTTCTCAGTGTTTGCCATCTCCTTCTTCGCACTGCCGGCTGTAAGTCATTTGATATATTCATTAAATTAATNGCTTTATTATAATTACCATTCATTATTAACTTAATAGCATGGATGGGCAAAATAGTTGCCTCATGTTTCTCAGTGTTTGCCATCTCCTTCTTCGCACTGCCGGCTGTAAGTCATTTGATATATTCATTAAATTAATTTAAATTAAATTAAATGTTTTCTAAACCTCTACTGAAAATCACAGGGAATCTTAGGCTCAGGTAAACACCATTATTGCCCACAAAAAGATAATAAATGTTAACTATTATTTTAAAATCTATAACAGGATTCGCCTTAAAAGTACAACAAAAACAGCGACAAAAGCATTTTAACCGACAAATACCGGCTGCGGCCACACTCATACAGGTGCTATCATGTACATTTACTTCCATAAACAATACCATAATCAATTTTACTCGATTTATACACCCGATCCCAACCATACAGTGCATGTGGAGGTGTCACTCATCGGAGCCGCACTTTCATTCATTGGCCACTTGGAAGATACACACGAGTGAATACCAGCAAAATGCGAGCACATGTATGTCAAGCACCCCATTGAGCAAAGTGGCCAAAAAGGCCAGTGTTTTACGCCGAAAAAAGTCTAAATTAAAGTTTGAAAACATCCAAATCGTGCCCAACCCGTACACCACCGGCGGTGTCAACCCATTATACACCGTTACGGCGCCTTCACCTGACAAAACCAACGCCGCCGGCGGTGACGACACTGACCACAAGCCGTCGACCATTGATGTGCCCGTCTATCTCGAAGAACCCAAAGCCAGTACGTATTCAATGGGTATTTCGATTGTGTTTTATTAAGTCAATTGTGTTTTTCTGTCTGGTATTGAAAGGCAGTGCCAATAGAGTGCGGAAAGACAGCCGTTTCATCCCTTCCTCCTCGACGCCCGCCTCAAACAATAGCCACAATATCGCCTCCTTTTGCACAGACGTTGTGTCCGACGATATGGACAACGATAACGACGAAACGCCCAGAAGTATAGCCACTGTTCAAAAGTAATGCCACTTTTTTAATGTCATTGTTTTTTGGCAGTAATTGTTTGAGTGTTTTTTATTAACTCTTTGGGATTAAGACAGCGATAGTTATGAAACAAAAGCCCAAATAAAAAGTTTATCTGCTTTTCATGGGTTGTTAATTACAAACGCGTGGATTAGCGGCAGTTATTTTTATATAAGGCTTTCTATAACTCCCACTGAAAATCTGTCACAAACTTAATGTCAGGGAAATGTTTTGTTTAATTAACAGCGAAAAGCTGTCACACAATTGTATGTGAAATAAGTGTTATTATATTTCTAATTAATAAGGGTACTTTTTAATATCTACTAATACCAGCAATTATTGTGGGATTTTGTTTGGGTTTTGAATAATTCATTCACTCATTAATTATAGACATATCCTTATGGTATAGCCTTTTGGGAAAGTGGTATAAGACCTTTACATACATAACAACTCATACAACTCTACTAAACTGTGATAACATTCATATCCATTAC